AAGGCAGAAAATAAAAAATATATAAATTGAATAATTTTTTTTTAGTAATGTTATTTTTATAATTTTTTGTTTTATTTTTTCTTTTTATCTTCCAGCTATTCATTCTTTTTAATTATTTTTTTACACATTTCCTCTTTCTCTCTCTCTCTCTTTTAAATTTAATTTAAGATTTTTTTAGGTACAAGAGATTAAAGAAAATGCAGAAAATACAATCCTTTAAATAAAGGATAAATATTTTGTATTTAGTTATAAATTGTTTATTTTCTCAGCTTCGTTATAAAAATAAAGATTATTAATGAATGCTTGATCTATTTAATATACATATAATGTTTGGTCTGTGAATTTTAGAAAAGTAATAATCAAGATTAGAAGTTGTTATACAATGCATTTTTATTTGAATTATTATTGAATCATTTAGTGAAAAATTTTTATAGTATATATTTTTTTCAATACACGTATATACGACGAAGGTTATAAGTTAGATTATATTAAATTGAAGAAAGTTTCGTAATTACTTCGTAACAACATTTGTGTGTATCACTCGTCAAATCGATGTAATAATGTCAATTACCGTGGATTGCCAATTGACATGCACTGCTCATTGGAAAGATTTTCTGAAGATTTATTCGATCTCACAGTAATCAAAAAATGTTTCCGTACGTAGAGAATTATATAAGCGTTTATAAAAAATTATAATTTTATATACATATACAATAAAACATAGTATATTAAATATAATATATACTATATGAAAATATTTATACGTATGTATATTTATATTTATATTTAAGATTTTTTCACAATCTGTCGAGATATCTAAGGAATTCTTAAACATTGGGGTTGACATTGAGGTTTATCAAAAAGATTTATATTTGTGGCTTATCAACTGCGCGATATTTTCTAGCTTTTTCCGGATTATAATCAACCTACACATTGCACGCGACTGTTATAATTACAGTGTTATTTTATATGCATTATACTCGTGCACATGCATATAATAAATTTTTAAGCCGAATATTTATTTTATTATATTTGTATTTTGATTTTTTTCTAAGAGAATGTTAATAATACATATATTTTGTAAGTACACACAGTGCTCTGTAACGGCCACTACGACTTTTACGTCAATTTTAATATAACCTAAACACATAATATAACTCTCTCTCTCTCTCTCCCCCCCTCCCTCCCTCCCTCCCACCCTCCCTCTTTCTCTTTCAACGTATACGTTACACAACTACCAATGAGGGTAACACACGAAGATACACAAGGAGCATCGCCGCTATGTGTCTGTGCAATAGTGGTAGCAGCGGCGACGGCGACGGA